CTTATATATTTTGCATTATCAATGTTGTGAAAGTATGACACTTAAGTATATATGCTTGGCACTTGAAAGTAACATGCTTTCCCTTTTGGTGGTTTGCATCTCTATATTATGACCAGTATGTGGTAGGTACATTTTAGTGAGTGGTACAAGCAATTAGGCATTTACTCTTACCTCTCTTGAGAACCAAAATATGACAACAAGAAAATATTAAAGCATTTGTGTAGTATGATGTATGTAAGAGGATGGTAGTGGAATGTAAAACAGCCATGAAGGCTTGAAAGCCCAACTGGGCTTGACATCATATTGCCATTAAGGCTTGCAAGCCCTTTTGGGCTTAAACTCACATAGCCATTGAGGCTTGAAAGCTCTATTGAGCTTGGATTCAAATAGCCATTAAGGCTTGAAAGCCATACTGAGCTATATGTGTTTTTTAAATTTGTTTTGTATTATGTTTTTTTTTAAACGAAAATTAAAGCCAACTACTAAGTAAACAAACAAGAAAAATAAATACATTTGAAAAAAAGCATATAAATTTTGAGAAAAATCAAATTTGAACAGTTTTTGAGATGCAAACTTTAGATTCAGAATCTAAATGTTTTTTTTTTGAAAAAAATAGATTCAGAATCAGATTTTTTTTGAAAGATTGTAGATTCAGAATCTGAATCTAAAATCCTTTGGAAAGATTTTAGATTCAGAATCTGAATCTAAAATGTTTCCAAAAAAATTAAATTCAGAATCTGAATCTACATGTTCTTGGAAATATTTTATATTCAGATTCTGAATGTTTGTTTTAAGAAAAACATTAGTTTTATTTATTTTTTTACATATAAACAATAACAAAATTCAGAAAACTAAAGTTTATGAACTATATAGTTATTTTGTAATTTGATTGTGGGTAAATATATTTTGAACAATGTTTTTGTTAAATCAATATAGGCTAGCAAGTGTGAGTACCAAACCATAAGTTTACATATATTTTTGCTATACATATATAATTTGTTCATATATTGTTTTGTTTTATCTTTGAAATTTGGATCAATATAGATATGAAACATTTCCTATGCTAATTGCTTGATCAGCCAATATCAGCACACCATGCTACTTTGCAATATAAAAAATAATGTTTGAAACCACTTTTCACACATAAACAAACATTGACCCTGGTTTCAAAGAGCTGCACAAAGCTTGCCTCAAATACACAGGTCAAAAAGAGCTTGCAAATTAATACAACAAACTACATAAACTCACACATACATAGCCACTAGGGTTCCTCATGCAACTGGCAGCAACCAAGAACCTTGCACAGCATTCATATTTTTAAGTTTTTTGGATGCATTTGGTACTTCAAGCATTTGTTTTTGCATAGTGGTTGGAATTCAAACAGTACTGCAACTACTATTTTATGAATTGTTTCACTTGGCCAAATCATTTTTTTAAATCATTCCACACATTCTTCACAGCTACATTGAAGATCATCCTGAGCATTACTAGTCTAGGGTGGCACAGTAATTAATGGATCATATGTTATTTCCTAATGATCATATAGACTTCATTCCTTGTCTTTGATGTTTTTGTCTAGTCCAACTTCATTGCATTTCCTTCTGTTGCACTTTTTGTCCACCTACAACTTGTAACTTTTTGATTTTTTTAGCACTGGATAGAAGAGTATAGTTCATTGCCAAGCAAACTTTTAAAAGCTGTGAGCACTACAGGTCTGACCCTGATAAATAGGCAATGGAGCCTGGAAAAAAAATAGGACAGCAATTCATGCTTGAGAAACATAAATTTGAAAGCCACTGGTGCTTGAAAGCAAGAATGACTTGAACAAAAAAAAGACAATGAGGCTGGAAAGCCACAAGAGCCACTGGGGCCTGAAAGCCACAAGGGATTGAATCAAAACAGCAATCAACAGCCATGTAGGCTTGAACACTTTGAAGTAGCCACTGGGGCCTGCAGAAACACTGAGTGCCAATCAGCTGCTGCTTTTTCACACCTCATTCAAAATAAGGTCGTTGTTGGAATCTGTTTGGTGAAAAATGCGTTGTCACTATGGGACCTACCCAGTCCTTGGCCAGCAGAGCCACTTCAGTGTCTTCTCTCCTTAGATGCAGCTAGCTTACATAAAAACGTGATGATCCCACAAGCAAACAGCAAAAACATTTGTTCCACATTCAAGCATGCAAGCATGGACAATGATATCCAGCATGCAGCCCAGACACCAGGACTGCCAGCCACAGTCAAATTGGCACACTCTCCACCTCTTCCCATTTCTCCACATCCAGCCACTGAACAGCACATTGGTGTAGTACTGGCCAGTCATGATCCTGAGATGCATTGCTGACACAAACATTCAATCCACATGTTCTGATATTTTGTTTCATTTGGATAACCAGAAGCCATGCTATGGGAAAAAAACTGAACCAATATACAAGTTTCACTTTTTCAGTACCATCATTGAAGAGCAACACAGTGCGATCTCGAAGATGGTGCACATCACTGATGCTCAGTGGTCTTGCCATTGCCTTTTCAATACACTTCAGTCAATACACTTGGTGTTCAGTCAGCCATTTCCTTGAGCAAAAAAACGCAATGGTTCTTTCTTTCCAAACCCAGTTTGAAAAAACATTTCACACTGGACCATTGGATGTCTATGGTGAACTCCTTGGGAAACATATTTCCACACATTGACTCAAAAGAACTTCTGGCTTTTGAACAAAAAGAAGTATGCACTAAATTTAATAAACAAACCTAAGCTTGGAAGAAGAAAGCCGCTGGGGCTTGAAAGCCACTGGGGCTTGAAGGCCACTAGGGCTTAAAAGCCACTGGGGCTTGAAAACACTGTGGGTTTCAAAGTCATTTGGATTTTCAC